GAGGGGTCATTGGGTGACAGAATGATTGTCTAAATGACAATAAATTGTTGTGGGTCTCTGAAACCAAAGATTAAGCTCAATGGATTTGTGTTTTGCTGCATGATCAAGTTTGAAATGAAATGTCTGCAGCTGGTTCCATGACAGCAGTGGCCAGGCTTAGGGCACGACTCAGTGTGAATGTATTGGCTTCTCCACCAAGGTAGTAGTTCTATTTGCATTTGTACATGGCACTGTTTCCAGAAATAGCTCATGCAGCTGTTCTTCTAACAGACATCTAGGAAAGATGCACCCCATACCTGCCCCAGGGAAAGGGGCACACAATTACTCACTCTCCTTTGACATGCCCGGTTGCGTAGGCTGCCCTCCACATGTGACCCTGCAGCTGCTTCAGTGCTGTGGTCTTCCTGTCCAGAGACATCTGCCAGTGCACGTTGTCTACGATCGCCTGAATGACCTGCTCCAGCTCCTCTTCCCCGCTTCCGCTCTCCAAAGGGATCGGCACGGCCCCGTCCAAGCTGGAGTCCTGCTGAGCCTGGAAAACATCCATGATGAAAAGAGATGAAGGAAGAGATGGATTTGTCTCAGCATCTCCATTTAGGAAAGGGGTCTAACACCCGCATCAGCACAACTCTGTGCAGCACACAGCTTGAACTGCTTTCCACATTAAGGGTTACAACATTGTTTGAATGCTTTTCTCAATAGGAAATTCAGACTTCAGTAGCGTCTAGAAACACTTGCTTGGATTGTACTTTCCAAGCCCAACAATTAGCACTCTTGTAGCTATATTGTAAATACTCTAATGACAATTATCTTTGCTTAAGTATTTCACTACTGAAACTAAGTCAAAGAAGCAAATTCATCTGTTGACTTCAGACAGTTATAGGTCTCAAATTGATGGATGGCCCTGTGTGGGACAAGCGCTCTGCCATCCCTCCACGCTGTTTCCCAAACAAGCATCTGGAAGCTTCAGGCAGTGGATTCAGCAAGAGAAGGGCACAATGCAGGCAGGAAGCTGAAAAGCCATGGTTCAACACTCACTCAGAGGCCGTGAAGACCAAGGCAAGCTGAGGGAAGCAGCTGAGCTGCTGCCTACCAAGTACCAGACCTTCCCCAAGCACAACCCCAGGCTTTGGGTGTGGAAGAATCAGCCTGTCAAGGCAACCAGCCTCCGTGGGGGTAAAAGAGAGGTATGGGCTCATGTTGGGTGACTGGGGGAGTCCAGGTGACCTGAATTCTCAGGCATGCCATGAAAACCCAGAGAGACACAGTGTTGCTCTGTTACTTAACCTGTTTCCTCAGAAGTCCGACGTCCCGCTGGCACTCCTCCTCCTCCCAATGAGTGCGCAGATACTCCTTCACGTTGTTTTTGATGTAAGGGAACAAGGTCTCCTGGCAGCACACAAGAAAAATAGGCAGCTCCTTTAACCTGGCAGAGGTAAAGCTGATTTGCTTTTAAAGCAACCATTTGCACGTGCTGGTGTGTATGGTTATTTTCCCCGCTTGAGCTTCCCCTACAGTACTGCAGCTTGTGAAAATGCCTGCCAAGGGTGTCTGCCTGGTTGCAGGCCAGAGTCAATCTTGGACCAAGTTTTGTGCTGGTGGATTTTTTCCACTAATACTTATGTAGCTACAACTTTTCAATCCCAGGATGGAGAACCAGATAACTTTTCCTGAGCTTGCCAAAAAATGTCTCAAACAGCAGATGTGACCCCAAGTTCCCATCAGCTGAGGAGTATAAGGCTGACTGTGTACATACCCTGAACTGACAAATTATACTACTCTATCTTTAATGGGGTGCTTGTGTTAATGAAGGTCATTCTGAAAAAATATCTCAACTAGTCACCAGAGCTAGAGGACCTTTTTAAAAAGAAAAGTCTAGCCCAGTGTCACTGAGCTCCATCGGACAGTTTTGCAAATGAAATGAAACGGGGTTAGGGAAAAGTGCCACAGGAGAATTACAAACCTTCCTGGAGATCCCAAGGGAAACCAGAAATAATTACAAATTGCTCTCATTAGTCGTGTTTCACAACTGAGAAGCCACAAGCAGCCGCCGTGACGGCATCTCTGGGCACAGGAAAAGCCTCAGGACAAGGGGAAGGGCAGTGGATCTTTTAAAGGGAAATAGAAATTATGGAGATTAATTGAAAGTCCAAGTGAAATAACTTCTTTAAAGCATTTTCAGGATTTTCAGCAAACTGTGTTTATTGAAAACTATAACTCATTTGGCCTCCCTGCAACAGCAAGACTTTGGGTAGGAAACCGTCTCAGGCATATTGCATGTGATTTGCATGACAACAAAATGGATTCAAGGTGGATGCAACCAACTTCATTGCTCTGGTAGATGTTCAGTAAGAAATCTGAGCTGTTCGAACTGTTTTAATTGAAAGATATTGAGGGGAGGGAGGCAGTTGTGATGTCATCTAGACCTGAAGTTTCTTCAAGAGCACTGGAAGAACATGGACAGGAAAGATGTAGGTCATGTTGTGCATCTGTTAAACTCTGTTAGCAGAAACACCTAGAAAGCCTGGCAAGAGCCTTCACCTTTCTGCGCATCATGTGGGTCACAATGCACCTGTGTAAACTACTGGCAAAAAAGATCCACCAAAAGCTACAATGTCTCATGGAGAAATACAGGTTAATGGCAGGAGCAGGAATAATTCTGTTCTGAGGGAGCAAATTGCTCCTTCCTGTGAAGCACACTAGCCTGGACCAAAACCTGTTGGAGAGGAGGGACCCGCAGTGGTTGGAGAACTGCAAATTTTAATAGCATATTTACAGCCTTTGTCCCAATGCCTCCTGCTGGCTTTGTAGACTTCCTGGTCCCCTGGCTTTTGCACCTAACCAACATTTTCAATAGTCTTAAGCCTCCTCCTAGACGAGGGAAGCCACTCATACATATTTGCTGTTAGTTCAGTCCTCCTTGTTGATGTGCTCGCTGTGCTACCCTCCCCCAGTACTGGTCCTGTGCATGCTGGAGGAAGGACATACATCTCTTGTGACACTGGAGGCATCTGACTGTACCACCCTTTTGAAGGGAGAAAGCAGCAGACAACCCCGAGACAGTACTTCAGGCACTCTGCAAACACGGGTGAGGTACTGCAGCTCCAGCCATCTGAGCAACGGTGATGCTTTTTCTACATGAGGCTGAGAGCACTCCAATTACCCTATATCCATGAAAAAAATCATTTACCGAACTGCCCTGCATCTTAATAGTTCCCTGTTCCCCTGCTCACAAAAGAGGGAAGCGGTCAGTAAAACGAGATGTATTTTGTCGTGAGCATTATTCAGAAAAATACAAAAAATGTGTTACGGTCTCACGCTTCTGGAGGAAACTCAGGCCTGCCCTCCGCAGGGCTGCAGCCCCTGGAGAGGCGCCGCGCCCTGCCCCCACTCCCGCGCGGGGGGGCCGTGCCAGCGAAGGGATCTTGCAGTCACAGAAATCTGCCCGGCACAGCGGTGCCCCACGCCCCCCGGCTGCCGGAGGGGGGCCACGATAACAACGGCAATGATAACGGAGCACCCCGGCGGTGCCTGCGGGGCT